AAAAGCTACCTACTTACCGAACTTTAAGCAAATCGGACCGTAAATACGATTTTTTCGAATAGATCAGTCCCTGGTCCACTTCTCGGAAAAAATTGACCATATATCCTAATATATGCTAAAAAACTACTTACGTACCGACTTTTAAGCAAATCGGACCATAAATACGATTTTTTGGAATAGATCGGTCCCTGGTCCACTTCTCGGAAAAAATTTATCACATATGCTAATACATGCTAAGAAGCTACTTGCGCACCGAATTTGAAGCAAATCGGACCGTAAATACGATTTTTTCGAATAGATCAGTCCCTGGTCCACTTCTCGGAAAAAATTTATCACATATGCTAATACATGCTAAAAAGCTACTTGTGCACCGAATTTGAAGCAAATCGGACCGTAAATTAAGGCTGAATGATTTTGTTTTTTCGTTACAAAATAATTATTGTATGTATGTACAATAGAGCGGTCCAAAAAAAATTTCCGAGTTAGGTTTGGGGCACAAACAGGCGAAAACTCCCTTACCTTAGACTTAGTTAGACTTTTTCTTCTAGTGCGGTTTGGAAATAAAAGAGACTGATGCTTTGTATTTTGACGTTTTTGAATGCACCCATTGTGTTGGTGAGCCCAGAGAAATTTGAGCTACAGTGGTGTAAAAGCAAATCGTATGGGGTACAGGTAACGAATGTAGGAACGCTTGTGAGAATAACAAATTTTCCCTGAAAACAGTAATCTGCCTTATCCTTAGTTTCGCCTGATAAAAAAATTCACCCGAAAATTTGTTATCCGCTCATAGTAAAAATATGGAACCAAAAGTGAAAAGTGAATCGGTTCGGGGAAAATGAAACTCATGATAAGGCTGAATGATTTCGTTTTTTCGTTACAAAATAATTATTGTATGTATGTACAATAGAGCGGTCCAAAAAAATTTTCCGAGTTAGGGTTGGGGCACAAACAGGCGAAAACTCCCTTACCTAATATATGGACAGCCCCTAAGCATTCACAAAAAGCTTCACTTAATCTTTTCTGAGCCTCAGCGTCGAAGAGCAAAGAGGATAATTTCACGACGCGGGCGAGAGCTCATGCGTGTCATCACAGAAAATGAAACAGAGGATATTGTTGAGTGGGTGAATCAAGAAGAAATTTCAGTGGACTGTGAAAATGAAATACCTTTGAATGAAAAATAAGTACGAGATATCCCTGTGGCTACTCCTCTTTCAGATTGGCTGGCTGGACCGTGAACCAAAGAAATCGACAACAAAGAATGACTAGTATAACTATGTAATGAAGTTTTTAAGACTGTTCTTTATTTATACAAGCAAAGTGTGAAACTTTCGCTAACATCTATCTATAGCGGAATACTTCCCTTTATTTTAATATATTAAATATTACTTTCTGAAATCCTGTTAAAAAGATATAACTCATTTTATGCGTACCGATTTTGGGTGAACAATGCTTTATATAGTATTTTGTAATGTTTAATTGAAAAAACATGTCTATGGGATTTTTAACCTTACGTAAGATCTGCGGCGGGGGGGGGGGGATCAATTAAATCTTACAATTTATTACGTGAGGGGAGTATAAATTTAGAGGATGCTCATGAAATTTTTATTGGGAGGGGGAGGGGCATAAAAAAAAATTCAAAACCAATAACTTACTTGCTAAAATTTTTTTTATTATAGCTTAAAATTATTGTAACCAATAGAGGTAAATATGTTGTACAAAAAATAAATAAACAGAAGTTCACAAAAGTTGATATGAAACTATTCGTCGATTTAAATTATTAACTTTTTACTGAGCATGTTTATTTTACGGGGAGGAAGCATCGAAAGCCTAACCCCGTCCTCTCCCGGTACCACCGTCAAGGATTTCGTCGGGATTATAACACTGTGTGACTGATAAGGTTATAGATCTATTCTCGTCTTCTTCTTCTTATTTGGCGCTGTAACCGCCAAGGCGATTTTGGTCAACTGACGTCAATTGGAAATGCCAAGTGAAACCAGAACACTTTCAGAGCTGGGGCGTCGGTATCCATTCGAACGACATGGTCAAGCCAGTTGAGCCGCTCTATTTCAATTCGCCATATACCGGCACGGGCATGATGAGTGACTTATAGTGTGGTTTTCGTACGTCGAGAGAGGACTTTACTCGTGAATTGCCTACTCAGTCCAAAGCAGTACTTGTTAGCAGGAGCGATTCTGCATTGGATTTCCATGCTGACATTATTATCGGTGTTAATGCTGGTTCCCAAGTAAACGAAATTCTCTACTTTCTCGAAACTATAACTGTCAAAAGTGACGTGGGTGCCAAGGCGCGAATGTGCTGATTGTTTGTTTGATGACAGGGATACTTCCTTGTCCTCATTTACCACCAGACCCATTCGCTTTGCTTCCTTGTCCAACTTGGAAAAGCCAGGACAGACTTCGCGGTTTTTCTTACCGATGATGTCAGTGTCATCGGCATAAGCCAGCAATTGTACACTCTTGTAGTAAATTGTTCCTGAGCGGTTCAGTTCTGCAGATCTTATCATCTTCTCCAACATCAGGTTAAAGAAGTCACATGAAAGAGAGTCGCCCTGTCTGAAACCCCGTCTGGTGGCGAACGGCAACAGAACAGAGCTGGCGGTATTGCTCAACGTCATTTTTCACAGCCGTATGAGTTTTGAGGGGTTGCCAAATTCAGACATAGCGGTATATAGGAAACTCCTTTTAGTGCTGTCGAAAGCGGCTTTAAAGTCGAAAAATAGGTGGTGAGTGCCGATCCTTTTCTGGTGGGTATTTTCCAAG